TTATCAAATGTACAAATTAAATACGATGTCGACTAGTTAACAAAAAATGGCCGTAGAAACATTATTCTCATTTTCACTAAGAATGTCTTACATTATAAAGGTGCATGAAAGTTGTTGTCAAGACTTTGCACTAGAAAACGTGCAACTACTTCTCTAGCCCAACAAAGAAGAATTGAACCCAACATACACACTTCTTTCCTCTTGGAGTCTACTTGGGTACCTCGACCTGTCTACTTTGAATCTTGTATAGATACCAATGTTCTAAATAGCGTAAAGCGTAGCGTAGCGTAGCGTCGAGATCAAGAATCACAAGTTTAAGCGTATCAATGCGAAGAATAAAAGTTATAATGCGTTTTGTATTTTTAATATTATTTTAATTATTTTTAAAACATTAAATATATTTTTATATAAAAAATAGATTTTTTTTAAAGGGGAAAAAAGGGGGAATAAGGCCCGCTTAAGCTCGCTATAGCAGGATAAGGCGCGCTTGAGCTCGCTTACACGACGCTTAAGTACGCTATAGCGGTCAACAAAAAAAGTTGACCGATTTTTTACTCGAATACATCAAAACGGAGAGTTTTCGTCGTGCTACGCTCTTTAGCGCGCTATATCGACGCTACTTCCCGCTATTTAGAACACTGGTGCAAATAGCAAAATTCAATTTACACAGTGTCTATGTAAAGACGACATATTAATATACCAATTTTCAATAGCAAGGGTCCGTTTGGCATGATTTTCAATAGTAAGGGCCGAGTTTGCTACTCAAGCCATAGTTGAGGATCAATAGGACACATTTTACCTGGAAAATAGCTTAAATTTGATATCCCATTACCAATTTGCCCTCATGTTTTTTCTATAAATCCCATACCCCCTTCTCTTCATCACTTCCATTCCATTAGTCACTCTGTTAATTTCCAATTATATAGATACGCGTATTGTGTGCGTGCTTGTTTTGGAGAGAAGATGTTGGGAGTGTTTAGCAGCTCGATAGTTTCGCCGCCGGAAGAGCTGGTGGCTGCCGGAAGTAGGACGCCATCGCCGAAGGTGACAGCGGCGAAGCTGATGTCCCGGTTCCTGGAGACGAACTCATCGGCGGTGTCCATACAGATCGGCGATGATGTCCAGATGGCCTACACTCACTACAAACAGTCGGCTTTACAGCCCAGGTACACTATACATGCCTTAAAAAATTAAAATTATATACTGCTAAATTGCTAATAATAAATGAAGATGATCCTGACCATTGAGTATGGATTTATGGTGATCAACGTTGGGGATGATCTGATGAGTTCATGGATGCGTATGGTGCTGTATCTCAGTGAAGAAAGGGAAAGTTTAATTTTATGATCTTGAGTTGTTTTATAGTTATTAGTAGTTATTAATTAAGGAATTCGAAAAATATAAGGATCAGATTGTTAAGTACTAATAGACTATGAAACATCTTATTCTTTTTTTTTTTTTCGACTCACAAAATTTCTCCAAATTGTGAGTCGGTGAGACCAAGACAAAAAAAAAACAATTCTGTAATTTTCTCTGTTTTATGGATTTTATTCCCTGATTTACTAACTTTATATGGGTATTGGAATCTGAATCAAAGATTTTTATGTAATTTCTGGAATTTTTCTTTATTCTGGACAATTCTTGATACGTACACGGTGACATATATTCTCACAGAAAAATGATACAAGTAAAGGGCCCATGCCGCCCATGTGGCCCTGGCCCTGTAGGGGAATGATAATTGTACCGGGGGTTGACAACCCCCTGACCCTCGCAGCAGTGGGGGCCCACCTTAGCTTTGCTCATCCTCACATGTGGCCATCATGGAGTGGTATCTCCATGTATAGCCCATTTGGCAAATTTATAAATAGTTTATAAAGTGGAATATTTTTTGGAAAATAATAAATAGTTATGCATAAATTAATCTTTGACTTTTGACTGAATTTATAAATCATATATATTTGTATCAAAACGATTAATTCATATGGGAAATGTTTCTCCACTACACCAAGAGGCAAGAGCATTAGTCTCTATTTTTCCGAAATGATGTGATTTTTCTTCGTTTTGGAGTTTAATCAAAGTTAATAATTGAAGAAGATTGAAACCTGACAATTCTTTATCTTACATTAGGATCAAGGATTGTTTACTTGGAATCAAATGTTAACATAACTTCTTGTAAATTGCAAGTGAAGACTGATATCGACCTATTTTGCCTAGCTTGATTAATTCGAATTGACCCCAATTTAGTTCCGGTGATATTTTGCTAAAAATCAGTATTTGAGTAGATTTTAATAAAATTTGAAGAAGTATGTGGTTGAAAAGTGATAAAAGTTGTGAATTGAAGATAAATTGTTGATTTTGACGAAGATTTTTATCAAACTTTTTAGCTAAACTAAACAGGAGCTTAGCCTATGTTTTGAAAGCTTCATTCTTACTCGTCTAGGATTTCATACATAGTAAATAATTAAATATCCAATTGTCTTGTTAGGTGGGATGATTATTGACTTTCATCTGTAAATGTTATTGGCCAACCTGTGTTCTTAAACTTATTTTATATGGAGCTTGAGCTTTTAATTATTTGTATGGTGAAAATTGACACTAATTTCATCGTAAATTGGACGACAATGGCAGATCATTTGCAGTTAAGGATGAAATGTTCTGCTTGTTTGAAGGTGCGCTCGATAACTTGGGGAGTCTGAAACAACAATATGGCCTTGCAAAGTCTGCCGATGAGGTAATTTTGGTGATTGAAGCCTACAAAGCACTTCGTGACCGGGCACCGTACCCGGCGAACCGAGTCGTCGGCCACCTCGAGGGGAATTTTGCATTCATGGTATTCGACAAGTCGACCTCCACTTTATTTGTGGCTACTGTGAGTATTCCCACCTACCAAATGCCAAATTTAATCCTTATTTAGTGGTCTTTACTAACAATTGAGTTGGTGGTGGTGTGACAGGACCAATTTGGCAAAGTTCCTCTCTACTGGGGTATCACTGCTGATGGATATGTCGCATTTGCCAACGATGCTGATTTGCTAAAGGGTGCTTGTGGCAAATCACTTGCTTCCTTCCCACAAGGTAATTTCCTACAATAATAATTTTTCTATGAACAATGTCAAAATGGAATAACGAGAATAGTTGATTGTGCTAACAACGATAAATTTGGGATTATTCTCAACAAGTGATTCTCTGAGTTTACATAATTGTGTTGCTTGATTTTTCAGGTTGCTTCTTTTCCACTTCAGTCGGAGAACTTAGAAGCTATGAGAATCCAAAAAATAAGATCACTGCTGTTCCTGCTACCGAGGAAGAGATATGGGGAGCGAAGTTCATGGTAAGATGCTTTATTTTTTTCTGTTGAATTATTGTTTCAAATCTTTCATGGCTACTTTATGGAATCTATATGAAAATAGCCATTATTAAACTAAGGTTGTATTTTGTATTCTAGGAAGTCAAACGAGGTTTGTTTAGAATTTTTCTTTAGCTTATTAGTTAAACAAGAGATTTTGATTACACGGAATCTCTACATATAGTTGAGAAAAACGTCCCTTTCTTGTCCAAGAAAAATACATACAAGGTGAGCACTGCAGTCCACAGATTTGTGCCATCTCTAGAACCACAGTAACTGATTTTTAGGTTTCAGTATCATAGAATAATGAATAAACTGCTGGCCAGCCAATAGCTTATCTTTGAAACTTTAAAACGACGACAGATACATTTTTGTCTTCAGCTTGTGAATTTTAGCCTTCCCAATTGCTTCTAATTAGTTAGCTTTCCTTTCTCCAAAATTGAATAGGGAAAATCGACGTCAATCATCCTTTCATAACATAGTAACTGGACTGGTTAGCGTCAGATAATATTAAGGGGAAAGAAATAAGCTAAAACCTTCAACCTTGTCGTGTGCTGGGTATCAAACATGTTTAAATAAAGGCATGTTTAGTATCAACTACAGAACGAGTAAGATTTTTTCACTTTTTAAATTACTGTCAATTCTATCTCACCACACATGCAATTGAAGCATTGCATACAAAAACATCTAAGAAGAGCATTATTGAACATCATGAGGTGGATAAAACGATGACGTATTATTATGATCACGACAATTGAGGGACCAGTTCCTAGCACGGCCAATACTTTTGTTGTCTGACAACTTGTGTGGATGATATTCAGGTGGAAGGGCAAAGCGTTCTGGCAGCCACAAAATAGAAGGTATTATCTTTATTGAAAATGAGAGCTCAAAGGGAAAAATGAGTGGCATGTAAATAGATGGAGGGGATGTGCATTGTCTTGTCAAGTATTAGAAATGAAAGAGGGAAGTTTGTATTGAGATATGAAGGCTTGTTTGCTTCCCTAGCTGCTTTCTTGTAACAGTGTTTAATCATTGTAAGGCTGCCTCTTTTAGTATTGTAATAATGTTTGAATCAAAGTTTGGAACTGATCTTGAACTGCGTTTTATTCAAATCGACATTGTTGAGTGCGGCATGAGAGGGAAATGGGTCGGAAATGAAAAGTCTAGATCGGGTTGGCGAGTTACGAGTCACGATCAATTGTCAAGATCTCACTTGTGGCTTACATTCGAGTAGTGATTTATTACTCATACAATTACATGCTTACAAACCGTACCCATGATGACCTAAAATTTTATAGTTCAACATTGCGTATTAAAACTGTTTGCGTCTTTTACTGGTTGGTTTATGAAACTAGTACTTTATATACCCTATAAATGGACCCCCTGGTCAGGGGCAGAGCTAGACAAGTAACTCGATGCGAGCACAATTTTTCGATGTTAAACATCGAGTTTTTAGTAATGAATTTAATGGTGATAAAAATATAAAATAATATTGCGACAATATTAAAAATGACATAGTTTATAAATTATACTTGTTCTTGTGAGTTTTAATAATTTGTTATTGTTGTATAATAACTTCATTATCAAGCTTCTAAAATATATCTTTCTCTACATAAAATATCACAAATATCTGTACTTCCTCTTATTACATTTCACTAATAGGGTATGGGCTAAATGTGCAACTGGCCATTGGCACGGATAGACTAGTTTAAAGTTGGGATGGTCTTGTTAATTTTAGAATGGTAAATTTTTCTCTCTTTAACTTTTCAAGTTGGGCCGGGCTTAGACATGCTGAGCTATACACAGTGCCTTCCTATCCCGCCATTTATCATTCGGGTCGTGATTGGAGTACAGGAGCATTTTTTACAGGGTACTGCCCGGGCAGACACATCAGGTGGGGTCGGGCAATTTTTTTTTTTTTAACACATGTGGGGTCCGCCCCACATGTGAGAGGCCTTGCACTTGCAGAATTGTCCTTATCATTCAAGGGCATAATAATCCTTTACACGGTAAAACCTCAGTCTTGTGCTAAAAAGTAAGAGAGGTATCATCTTCTCGTGCAAGCATCGAATCTTTTTCATTTTCAATTTCCACACGCAATAACTTACATTTCTATACAACTTTCCAAATTCCAAGAAAAGTAATTAACACATAACGTTCCCACATTTCATTATTATTATGAAAAACATCCATATCTTTCATTTTTTGGCATTTTCACATTTACTTCCATATTTCATTGCGCAAAAGGTCCTTCTCATTTATTTTCTCAATTAAAAATTGTGAAATGACAAATACACAATTCGCTTTAAATAAAACAAAAAGAAAAAATTAATTGCAATTATAGTTCTAATTTTTTTTTAAAAGCACAAATGAGTCCCAAATAAATTATTAAAAGGGTAATTAGTACATAATGTTTCTCCCTTTCACTATTATTGCGAAAAAGTCCATACCTTTCATTTTTTTGGGCATTTTCACACTTAATTACACTTGATTGCGCAAACTATTATTTTCATCCAATTTTCAATTAGAAAAAACTGTGAAATAATGACTATACCATCATATTTAAATAAAAAATAATTTTTTTAATTTCTAATTCTTAAATAATTTATTTGGGACTCGTTTGCACTTTTTAAAATAATTTATTGGGGACTTGTTTGTAATTTTTTAAAATTTGAGATTATGGTTGCAATTAAATATTTAGCTTTTTTATTTAAATAGGAGAGTATATTCGTCATTTCACAAATTTTTAATTGAGAAATTTGATGAAAATTGATAGAAATAACTGTATGCGTAATCAAATGTATACTAAGGGGTAAAAATGTCAAAAAAAAGGTAGGGACTTTTTTGAAATAATAGTGAAGGTATGGACATTATGTACTAATTACCCTTTTAATAATTTATTTGAAACTTATTTGCACTTTTTAAAAAAGTTTGGGACTATGATTACAATTAATTTTTTTCTTTTCTTTTTATTTTATTTAAATATAAGGGTATATTCATCATTTTACAATTTTTAATTAAGAAAATTGATGAATATGACCTTTTGCACAATGGAATGTGATAATTAGGGTGAAAGTGTCAAAAAATGAAAAGTATGGACATTTGCCATAATAACAGTAGAATGTAGGGACTTTATGTGCTAATTATCCTTCCAAGAACAAACTTGAGAAATTAAACACAAAAAGATGACGAAAGATAGGAAAATTGGGATGGCTATGGACTTCTCAAAGAGTAGCAAAATGACATTTCAATGGGCTATTGACAATTTACATAAATCAAGATAACAAAAAATAAGAAAAGAAAAATGAGTATATGTTGGGGTTCAGGGCTTCACCTTCTTCTTTTGTTGCTGTCGAATAATCAATAACAATCGACGGAGAGTCGAGCTGCAACCTGCAATAGGGATGGTCCGAACTTCTACGGACCAGGTGAGCTGCAAGCAGCAACCAAGATTAAATGGTGGAGGAGGCGGCAGAAACTAAGCGACGAGAGGACTGTGGAGGCGACGAAAACTTAGAGCCGGGACGGGAGAAGGAGGAGGCGAAGTGGATGAAGAAGGGTTGTAATTGGTAAGCGTCATCTAATGAATCTATCTAATGGTAATATGTTATTGGATTGAATAGGAATGATATTGGACTAATGAGTTTCACTTATTGGTTATGGAAATTAGTTTTTTTTTTTTTTTTAATAAAAATTGGGCCATTCTGATTGGACCCAGAAGTTAAGTGTGGGCCTGTGCCTACACTGGGCTTCATTGGGCTCCACCCCTGCCCTTGGTCCTTTCAAGCTGGTTAAACCGCCAAGTTGGGAGACGAAAAAAGGTTCGAGAGTGATGCTGTCTAATCCTACAACTAAAATAAGGTGGTTGAGCTTTATTGTTTTTAAATTATTTCCTTGCACTTTAAGTCATTAGGAGACATTTAGTCTTTAATTAATCCCCGATTTTATTTTATTTTAATTAGATTAGAATTTTAATTTCGTTCGGAATTAGTCGATATTTTTAATTCTTATCATTTTCTAGATTTAATCGTTATCTAAGACTTTAGTTATTATTCAGAGTCTATTTACCTTTTTATATGAGAGTTGTAATTAGTTAATGTGCGTTTGATTGCGAATATGAAATTTGCATCGAAAGAAAATAAATTTTAGACAATTCAATTGCTTATAACTTATTTGTATGAAAATTATTAGGTAAAGATGTTTGATTGATTTAATTTTCAACTTAAAAAATATTACACTTGTCCATTTCATTAGCAAAGCACAGCTTAGCACACTCAATAAGAAAGCACAACTCAGTACACTCAATAAGGAAGCACAAGATTCTTGGAGGAAAAAAATGGGAAATACTCACAATATTGCCAAAATCAGTGGAGAGACGTTGAGGGGTATTAGAAGTAAATCTGAGATATGAGGACCATTTGTACCGGATTTTATGGGATTCACTTTATTGTATTACTATTTTAAATATTCCATTGTAATGCCTAATGGTTGACGTTGTTAATCATTGAATAAGAGACATATTAATTTTTCTTCTTCCTCTCTTTTATCCATTTTTTCTTCTTGGTATCAGAGCTTTAGTGAACTTTTGGCAACAAACCATAGCCCTTTCTTTCTCTTACCATGGCTACACTATCTCTCAATGTTGGCAACTTCATCACTCCAAGACTCACTCCAAATAACTATCCCTTGTGGCGTGAGCAAGCATTAGCTCTAGCAGAAAGCTAAGAATTAGTGAGACATCTCACAAATGAAGATCATGGACCAAACAAATATGACCCTGCAGACAACACAAATTCTCAATTAACATATGCTTTCATCGCATGGCGAAAATCTGATCGTCTTCTTCGAGGGTGGATCATTGGAACACTCTTTGAGGAAGGTCTCGGCCTTGTTGTTGATCTTGATACATCACATGCAGTTTGGGAGGCTCTCAAAAATGCATATGCCCAAGAATCACAAGAACGTGAATTCACTTTGCACCAACAGCTTACCTACCTTCGAAAAGAAGACCACAAAACAATTACAGAACACATACGAACTTTTAAAGGTCTCTAACAATTTAACAGCAATTGGGAAGCCCGCTCCAGACCAAGAAAAGGTATTCGACTTCTCATCAGTCTTGGTCTGCAATGTGAAACATTCACAACAACCATGTTAAAACCTCCACGACCATCATATTCTAAGTCTTACTCTAGTTCCGATTCAGTGTTAATAGGATATGGATCTTCCATGCCAATTATTGCAATTGGAGACTCCTATATATAAAAAAAAAAATTAGCATTGCCACTAAATGATGTGTTATTAGTTCCTAATCTGAAAAGGAATTTGCTCTCTGTAAGTCAGCTAACCACTCAGTTTCCTGTTAATTGTGAATTTTCTAATGTGGATTTTTGCGTATGACAGGGAAACGCAAGGGTGATCTCTACATCCTATCCTCTTCACCCAAAACTTTATTTTTCTAATCACTTCAAGTCTGGTACAGTAGAAATTTGGCATCAACGCCTTGGCCATCCTCAATCTTCAGCCTTGCAAATGTTAAAAAATAAAGGGTTAATTGATGTTGTAGGGACAACAAAATCACAACATCTTTGTGATAGTTGTCAACTAGGAAAGTTTAATCGTTTACCTTTTTCTTGTTCGACACATTCGAGTACAAGTATTTTTCAGAAAATTCATTGTGATTTGTGGGGACCTGCTCCTATTCTTTCAATTGCAAAATTCATATATTATGCATGTTTGGTTGATGATTTTTCAAAGTATACATGGATTATTCCTTTATGGTAAAAATCTGATTTTTTCAATGCATATCTAAACTTTGAAAAATATGTTGCTAGACAATTTAATAGGCAAATAAAAT